TTCCTTCCTTCCTTCCTTCCTTCCTTCCTTCCTTCCTTCCTTCCTTCTCTTCTTCTTTGCTCCTTCTCCCTCCCTCCTGCTCTTTCATGCCCCCCCCAGGTATCTCAGAAGGCCCTACTTGATGAATGAGTCCCGGGCTTCATGGCCACGTGCCGCAGCCCCCGCTCCCTTCTCCCCGATGGGACCGGGAAGGCAGAGCAATTTTAAGAAGGACCATTAAACAAAGGAATTACCTTGGCGGTTGAGACAAGGAAAATAGTTTCTCTCAGGAGACTTTCCGAATTAGATAAAACGCTGAAGAGGGAAAAGTGTGTGGGTTTTGGCTGGCTTCCTAGCGCCCCCAGCCTCTTTCCTTCTCTTGGCCCAGCGCTAGCAATGTACTACCCTGCGTGTAGCACGATTTGCAAGCAGGACCAACGTCCTTGCTTGGCCCTAGGAATTCAGAAGGGAGCTTGTCTGAAGCTGCAGGGCAGGGTGGAGATTCAAGCTCACCTGGAGCAAGAACTTTACCCTTGCTAGAAGTTTCCATTCTCTCGCTCTCCCACAAAAGGTGACCCAACAGAGCTAGCCCCTCCCTACTGCCAAAACTACATGCTAACCCCTCTCCCCAATGTCTGTCTTGACAGGGTCAGATTTGCAAATATGCATCCCCAAAGCTCTCACCTGTTGCTCCCGCAAGATGGAGGAGAGATACCAAGGCTTGGCTCGGTCCAACATGGAGCAGATCCTCCAGACGGCCAGCATGGACTTGAAATTCCTCATCATGCAGAACGTGGCCATTTTCCAAGGTAGGTGAGGGCAGGGGCTTCGTGCCCTCTGGGGTGGGTGGGGAATAGAAATAGAATAGAATACTTTATTGGCCAAGTGTGATTGGACACACAAGGAATTTGTCTTGGTGTAAATACTCTCAGTGTACATAAAGAAAAGGTACATTCGTTAAGAATCGAGAATCATAACGTCATGTAACGGAACTCAGAGGTCGGCCGGTAGGGTGTTGCTGGATGAGACAAGGTGGGGACGACTCGGGAGACAGGAGGAAGAGCTACTGGTGAGGCAGAAAAGAGATAATGGGCCCTGCAAAAGGAACGGTGGCTAAAGTCTCTCGGAAGACCTCCCTAGTTTCTTGGGCTGTAAAGGGGAGGGGGAGGAAGAGGGGTCTCTTCAAAATCCACAAGGTTCCGTTAATTAACCTTACAATAAAGTTATGGCTGGTACGTCCGAGTGTGTTTTTTGCCTGGGATGCCTCATAAGCTGACATCAATCTGTGTGAAAGCAGGGGTGGGATTCAAAAATTTTAACAACCGGTTCTGTGGGTGTGGCCAGGTGGGCATAGCCATGTGACTGGGTGGGTGTGGCCTCTTCTTCCTCCTCCTCCTCCTCTTCCTCCTCCTCCTCTTCCTCCTCTTCCTCCTCTTCTTCCTCCTCCTCCTCTCCTCCTCCTCCTCCTCCTCCTCCTCCCCC